GTAGGGAAATCTATTTTGGTTTGAAATAGGACACTCTTCACAAATTAGTGTCCATAGTTAGAACTGTTGAGAAGTAACCAAATTCAGACCTTGCATTAATTCCGTTATTTAAGTTCCTGTTTCCATTCAGTTCTATCACAAATTGTAGAGATTTTGCAGCTGATACAGGGGCAGCTGTCTCAGAAGTGGGAGTTCTTTAGCTTTGCCGTAGAGATGATTCCAGACATAGCTTGGTTTTAGGTGAAACATGAAACTGAAATTCTGTCTACTTGTGATCATCCAGGCTTCCAGAGCACAGACCACATGTCCAGTCTTGGTCTCCTGTTTTCTTTGATTGAAACTGTGTAGTATTCCGTGAATGGAAAGAGAGGTTTGGCTGGGGCTATGTCCTGTGCGGGTGTGCATTTGCATAGGTGATGGGTGGACGAAACACGTAGAGATACACATCCATTTAAGTTCTAAGCCATCCATGTTGTACCAACAGGAGCTACCTCATTTTTTAAATGATGCAGAGGTAACCTGAGCGTATGAATGAAGGTTTTAGCAACGTGTCCACTTTGCTTTGATAATATTATTTCCTATAGGATGCAGAATCTTAGTGAGGAAGTTGATAATCTTTTCCCAGTTTTGCCTGAGGTCATACTTTCCTGCCTGTAGGAAAAGCAAGTTAGTGTCAGAGTGCAGGGCTTGTAGTTGAAGGAAGAAACAATACAACATTATCTTTCTAACTCCCTTGTTATTTAGCTTCAGAACTTGACCTGTTCTGCTGGCAGCATGGTGTTTCTTTAGCAAATGCATCATCAGGCCTGATCTACTCATGTACCACCACCTGCTCATGAATGGTCAAATTTGTTAAAACAGAATGCCGGGAAGGAAAAATGCTCTACAAAATAACACAGTCACTTATAAAAGTGTATCCCTTTGTTATACGTATCCTAGCTGAAGTGTGTGTGGTCAGATCACCCTAATGGAATATTTGAAATGGACGATGAAGCCAGCAGAAAAATATGTGTAGGATAAACTAATAAAAACAGAATGAGCTAGCAAGAAAATGGGTGAGAGACAATCCAGGAATGTAAGAGAGCAAAAAAAAAAAAAAAAAAAAAACAGACTTTTTTGGGGGGGGTTTCCAAAAGCCAGGCAGAGGGAGAGATGTGTTACTGCAGGCATGGGCTGCAAAACAGCCTCCTTGGAGTGATGGGCTAGAATAGACTTTGACATCTCAGGACTGCATGAGACTCGGGCAGCTGAAGCAGCTACCTGAAGCTTCCCACTTCCAGCAGTCAGCAGCGTGCTTTATGAGAGCAGGGAAACAAGGGCCCTATGTTAGAAAATCGTCTCAGGAATAGAGCCAGGGTGCATGCTGGAAGTAAATACTTTGCAGGTAGGTGGACCTGGATCTGAACAAAAGTGAGCATTGTGTGGTGATGGATCAAACCTAGATTCTATGGCTAGATTACACTTGCAGTGACATTTTGTCAGAAAGCCACACATACTGTCTGCATCGACTCCTGGGCTGTTCCTCCCCTTATCCATACCTTGTTGTTAGCCCTGTAGGCTGACAAAGTCTCTGGAGTCAGAGGTGGCAGGATTAGACAAAAGGCCACTTCCTCTGTTTTGTATAAGAGGCCATGAATCTGTTGGCCTAGACTGGCCTGCTGCGAAGACTTTGGAGACCTGGTTAGCTGATCTGTGTGGAGTCTCGGCTTGCTGCACGGCAGGTCTGATGTGGATCTCTGCTACCCAGCCTCTGTGCAGTGTGGCCAGCAGAGCGATCTGCACTGGTGTTGAAACAAGGGTCTTTGCTTCATTACTGGTGGACCAGGATGGTTTTGCCTATGTTTGCTCCAGGAAAGTCCATTCTTGCTATTCCTGCCTGTCACTCCAGAATGGGAATCTTCCTGTGTTCTCAGGTCACCACAAGGAAAATCAAACACTGGGTTAAGTGCAACAATTTGCAACCGAACGTAGGGTTTGCTGCTGATGCAAACAGAGTTCCCTGCTGTTGCTGCAGAGTGCGAGAGTATGTACCCATCTGTTTGCCTCTCAGGTTACAGATGCATCTTCCACTGTGTTGGCCAGGTACTGGGGGGTTCGCAGATGTAGCTTGTTTGGGCAGCATCACTGGCGGTGGGGATGTACCAAGTCAGCTCAGGTGTCTCTGTGCTATACACCTGCAAAGATGCCTGATCTGCTGGATCCAGCCACGCTGAGCCAGGCCCGGATTGGCGCCACACGGACCGAGGAGAGAGAGGACAAAGAATATAAGGCAGGTGTCTCGGGAGAGGGTGAAGAGAAGGAGGTGACAGAGGTGGTTCCTAGAAGAGCCTTGTGAAGGCAGGCCCTGTGGCTGCCCTGATCTGCGTGCTGCGTGCAGCAGGAAGCCTTTGGCTGCAAGTTCAGCAGAACGCTGCTGAGCTGAGCCAGCTCCGACCGCACGCGTGGCGCAAGGAGTGATCCCCTTGCTGCAGGTAGGGATTGAAGTCTCCCTAGCCTTCATCGCCTCCTGCTCTCCCCTGGCCGGTGCTGTGAGGAGGGAAGGCAGATAAACGCAGCTAGTTTGAGGGCACAGGAGGCATTTAGAATAAAGTCAGCTGCATGTCCATTGCGAATCAAAAGCCCATTCTCCACTTCTTGTCCCGAGGGCATCCCTGCCCCCTCTGCTGAGCACTGCTCGCCCCCAGCTGCCGGCAGGATGCACATAACAGCACGAGGCAGTAGTTTTCTTTGGTGGAGGCATGTCCTTTCCCCGCTCGCTTTGTCCGAGGGGCCCCACAGAGTTCGGGAGCTTCTTCCTGCCCTGGGGCTCGCATCCGGCTTCCCTTCCTGCCTTGGGGGGCTGTGAATGGAGGTGGCCCTGGCAGCTGAGGACCCCCTCCAGGGCGCGTGTTCCCAAATAACGGGAGGAATGTTTTTCCGATTGTTTTGGGCTGTTCCCAGAACAGCTCTGCAGCGGATGGAACAGGGCTGAACGCGGAGGCTGGAGGAAGGCCGTCAACTGGTTTGAGCTCTTGGCCACCATGATGTTAGGCAAGTGTATAGGTCAGACTTGCGTTGCTTGAAGAGAACTTAATTAAAATAACAAGCTTTCTAATAGGAGTGTTTATTGAATCCTGTTCCCTAATTTAATCTGTTTTTTCACTTTTTTTTTTTTAGTTTTAAGTTCAAAAGTATGATAGAAAAGAAATCAAACTTTGCAGATGCCTCTGAGGGAGAAGTGAAATGTAACTCATCATCTGTGTGATTGCCCATCCAAAAACTCCTCTGACCTGCGTAGATTTTACAAAAACATTTATCTGTGTGCATACAACCTGGTTTCTACTGCTTCGTATCTGTTCCAGATGCATCCTTGATACCATCAACATAAACGAGAAGTTGCCTGTAGTGGGTGACCGTTGGTATCCACGCACGGGTTTTCGCAGCTTGCTTGTACAGCTCCTAGCGCAGAGGAGCCTGGCCTGCACCCCTAATCCTTGCCGCAGGAGAAACGCGCAGGTCCTCCCGGCTTTGGGGGCACGGGCCCGCATCGGTGCTGTCCCGGTCGTCCTGGAGCAGGAGCAGGGCGCAGAGCGATACGCAGAGATCGAGTGGTTAATTTTCCACAGAGAGGCTCTGCTTCCACGACCCCGCTGGCTCTCGGGGCTGGCTGCGGTCTGTAGTGCTTAGCCTCTGCTGTTGCCGCCATCAAAAGGCTTTGTGTGAGCGGTGACAAAGTGAGGATTGATGGAGTTTCCTCTGCCCTCCCCCGCCGCGCGTGAGTCAGGCCCCACAAATAGCTTTGTGCCGCTCGCTGCGTGGCACCTCGTCACAAAGGTGCCTTTCTTCCCTTCAGCCCAGGGCAGGTTCCTGTCGGGATGGGAAATGCACCTCTGGGAAGCTGTCCCCGGGGCGCCCCCGAAGCGTCCGCGCCCCTCCGAGGCCGTGCTTTGTCCTGGGGCAGCCCCCG